CCAATCACAGTCCGAAACGTCATCCGACGTCAGCGGTGACGTAAGAGCGACCTAGCGTGCAGCTCGTCCGCGCCGCTTCCTGCGTAAATTCAGGAATGTGCCGTGTAACTAATAATTGGCGCGTCTGGACAGGTGCCGCGTAAATGACCAACCGCGTAGGGAAAATCCGCGTAAACCGATGCTATGCTGTACGTACAAGTGCGGGTCAATGCGAACCAGTGTGGTGTTCCAAGGGACAATAGTACTGTGTAAATTGTTCTAGCACAAAACTCTGCCAGGATTGGGAGTCAGTGTTCACCACTGCTAGCAGAGGGCTGGTCCTCGCAGCATTCCTCGAGAGGGCATTCCGCATCATGGAGGCCAGGCAGCCACGCCATCCTCTAAACCATACACTCGGCAGAATCGGGGCCTCTTGTCCGTAAACACCGCACTTTGTCTGTAAACACCCCCGCCCCCGTAGCCACCACATCTGCGGGGGGTGGTGGTCGCAGGCTTAGAGATTTAATCTTTGTTCGGGTAAGGCAACGCCAGCACTGTAGTTGAAGTCAGCGGCGATAACACTTCTGGCGTTGGGCAATCGCCCATGATTTACGGTGTGGCGCGTTCAAGAAGGCACACTCGGGTGACTGGCCTTCGGAACTCCCCAGATATGGCTTGCACGCACACCTGGCGCACCAGACCGTCAGCTCCTGGGACCACTGCCGTGATATGCCCAATGGCCATTCGTTGCGAGGAAGATTTTCTCCAGTGACGAGGACGAGGTTGCCTTCCTGGAGATTCCAGGTTGGTTCAATGTACCTCTCTTTTGCAGAGTGGAAGGCACTCCCTCACCCACCGTTTCCAGAAGCGGTCTGCTAGGAACTGCACGTTCCGCCACCGTCGTTGATACGAGTCCTTCAGAAGACGTCCTCCCAGCGACAGATCAGCGTGTGGGCCACCGTGGAGGACGAGGGCTGGTGTAAGCGCTTCCAGGTCTCTCGCGTCGCTCGAGGCAGGTGTGACGGGTCGACTATTTATGATCGCTTCCATTTCACAAAATAGCATCCGCAGTCGATACTCATCCAGGACTTGGTTCCCCACAATTGCTCCGAGAACCTTTCCGACTTCGGATTTGCCGTTCCAGACTCCTCCCACGTGCGAAGCTGCTGGAGGGTTGAATACCCATTCTATATCTTTCTTCTGAAAGTGTCTTCTAGGTCTCTCATGTCGCTCGATGCAGGTGTGATGGTTTGATTATTTATTATTGTTTTCACTTCACAAATAGCATCTGCACTTGGTATTTATTCGGGACTTGTGACCCCAGAATTGTTCCGAGGACCTTCCGACTGTTCAAATTTGTCATTCCCAAACTCCAAAAGTCGTGCCGCTTCCCTTTCTTCCCCCTTTGGGAAATACGCCTCCAGCATTTCGGTCACAGTTCGTCACACTGCTGCCGTCGAGTTGGTCCCGGGATTTTGGTCAGGCGCTGAGCATTCGGGCTCGGGCAGAGGGTGGCCCCCTTCAGCTTCTGTTGCCGTAAAGACGTAGTCGTTCGGCTCTGGAGGGACAACTTCTACCTCTGGGTCTCGGTCACCTTCTTCCATGTTCACCCTTCCCTTTCGTTGCTCTGGATCCATTTCTACAACCTCTTGTACTTTTATTGATGTTCATTTACAGCTCCGGTTAGGTCTCAAAGTTTGTTTGACGAACCACTACTCACCGCCTGTATTTGACGGTGCAGCTCGCTGCTGGTATTTATGTTTGATGATAGTAGGTCACTGCCGGTTGCTCACGGCGTTAAAAGTAAATTTAATCACGCTTACCGTGTACTTCGTCGCGTTGGTTATTTGTTACCTTAAAACTGGTGGTACCGAATCAATTTTCCTTTCCTTCCTAACCTCACTAGCGGGCGGCAGCTCTGCCTATACGAAAAGGAACACTCGCAACCTGTGATCCACACTCGTATGGCAGTGTCCCGACCAGTGCTGATGTAATGTATGTTTTCCAATTTAAGGGTACAAGTATGCAATACAAAAGGAGGACACGAAATTCAGATATCATTCGATGATTTCCTTATTTTACGTAAGGTCAGTAACATAATAATTCGTTGCCGATGCAGTAGAAAAGGCGATGAGGTTGACAAGTCAATGGATATGGTCATTCTGGCACCGTCGTGTAGTGAAAGCAGAAGGATCGTACACTGATTAGTACATCTGAGGTTTTCGCCGGGCAACCACTACGTAAGGCTCCTCATATCGTCGGCTAGCATCGTCTCACATTTGGTCTAATTGTATTTGTTATGATGAATTAGTTTATTTACTACCTTTGGATAAGTGTTCCATGAACCAGTTTTGTGCCTTTTCATACATAGAAAACGGAAACTGGTATCATTCAAGATAATCTACTTAATACAGTATTTGTTAATACATACCTATATTTACGACCTTGGATCACGGTCGTGTCAAACTGTAACAAATTAACTCCGACTAAATTGTCCGTGTATTGAATCTCGTAGTGCAATCTTCTTTTAGGATTACTGTTCACTAACATCTTTGGTGTCGCTTATGAATGAAGAGGCTCTGATTCACGCAGTCGTCAGTCTGTCTTGGTAATTGGTGTATTTACTGTCGTTATTACACACTCAATAAACATAACTAATATCTTTTATGTGGATTACGTGTATGTGCAAGTAAACTTATGTTCAACTAGAGGTTCTCTGCAATACCGCTATATTTGGCGAAATCCCATGCATACTGCACGGATGCACGGAGATTATTTACTGCTCGTGAGAGTCGTCGTCTAACGCATTCTCAACAACTGACATCTCCGGGTTATGCCTCCTCGTCCCCATTTCCAAGAAGATTGGCCAGCGAAGGACGTTTTTGCTCTCGACTGGCTCGGGTACCAGGAACTCCGACCGAGGCACATTGCCACAAATGCCTAAGTGCCGAGACATCGTCATTGAAACGCCACCGCACCTCAAGACAGCATACGGGTATGGAAGAACTCCTCAAAGCTAGCACCTCTGCTCCGGGTGGCATGTCTGCTCATTGTGGTCAGCCCGGCGGCGGTGCCTCTGATTGACCTTACACGTCTTCACCCTGCTGGGGCCACGCCGAGCGCCACGGCGAAGGCAACTATCCTGTTCGCAGCATTTTTGGCAGAACATGATGCCATTCAGGTGATTTAGTGGTTGTTTCCTCTTGTATTTTAGCCCAAAATGTAATGGCACTGCTCAATAAGTGGTCGTGTTAATCTGTCCCAAGCGGCACATGATCTCACGATCTTCAGTTGCAAGTATAGCCAAATAAATTTAATATTCCCTTTAGCTTATGTGACCACCGATTCCAAGACCGCCGCTCAAACGGCAACAAAACGGACCGGGTGCAAGGTCGTCTTGCAAGCTTTAGGGGAATGTGCAACTCAAAACTTGGTTAGGAAACTACAAATAAATTTAGTGTAATTATTGACGAAAGTACCGACTGTTTGGTCCGTAAATCACGTGCAATGACAGTGAGGTATTTTGATCTGGAGAGATGACGACAAAATCGCGATGCTGGATTTGATTAACGTATTTGACGGTAATCGGGGTTCGACTGGTGAAAATATATGACGTGCTGTTACAGTGCCTCACTACACATGATATACCATTGAACAACTTCATTGGGACTGCTGCAGATGGGGCATCAAACATTACGGGCGAATATAACCGTGTAACTAGCAGAATGAGAGTTCATTACCGTATTTAAACGTGTTGCACGGGGTATGCATCTCCGTGTCAGCGAAGCAGCAAAGACCTGGCCACGTACTCGTGAAGACGTGTCGAGAGGGAATGCGTACATTTACCTTTCCCACAGTGCCAAAAGGAAATGCGAGTTCAGGAATTCCAGGGTTTTGTCAACTCAAACCACACAAATATTTCATGCCTGTGCCAAGAGGTTGTTGCCACTCCTTGAAGCTGTTGCAAGAGTGCTCGAACAGTAGCATCCCCTTCAAACCGTATTTCCACATCAGGGTAATTGAGGAGAGACTTGTGTTCTGCCACTTGAATTTTTAATTACATATTGCCGCAACTCAACACAATAAACTTGATTTTCCAGAGTAAAGCCCCAACTTTGCATTTAATCCATATGTCAACTGCATCTGTTATTGCTAAACTCCTTTTGCCAGTTACATAGTTTGTCAATCTCCAAATGCATGGTATTGATCCAACCGATGATTCCCTATACAGTACGTACCAGTCGATCGGATATATTCGGGATCGCATTACATGCCACCTTCCAAAGGGAAGAGCATTATAAGATGAGCGTGAACATTGACGAAGATGTGGTGCAGAGATTTCTAGTAGTGGTGTGTAGGGAAATAAAGAAAAGATTCGAACTAAACAATAAGTTGTGGAGACTGGTGGTATATTTACACCCCAAAAGAGTCTGCTATTTTATAAACCTGTTATTAGCATTTTAAATGAAGAGGGAGAAGCAAAATATAAATGTTTTGGACATTAGCAATGAAAGTGTTGTCACTTTTGATGCAAAGCATCCTTTTCTAAGGTGAATTTAATTAAGGAAACAGAGAACTAGCCTTCGTATACAAACTGTAAATCCTCAATAACCTTTGAGCGAATGACGTAATTTAATATTATTGTGGATATAACGTATTGTTACCACTTGTTGGCATTGTAATCGGCTGTGGTGTTCCCATTATGTGATGGTGCTACAGTTGTTACCAGTCCCTTTCTTTTGATAAGCTTGAAGTCTTATGTTAAATGGTGATATTATGTTTCCTAAGAGTTGTTGTCAGGTAGTAGGCAGCTATACTCTGGAATGGGGTGGTAATATCGACAATATGTACCTAGATTTTGCCAAGGCTAAAATTCAAACAGGAAGGGTACAGAATTCAGGAAATGTCCTAGCGTGGATGGAAGACTTTCTACAAGACCGCAAGCAGTGTGTGGTGATTAATGGCACGAAATCATCATCTGTACCTGTCACAAACGGGGTACCACAAGGCAGTGTATTGGGTCCGATGTTGTCTGTTTGTTTCATAAATGACATGCCCGACGTTGTACACACCTCCGTACAAATGTTTGCCGACGACGCCAAGTTATTTCGGGAAATCAAGAACTGAGCGGACTGTGAAGAGCTGGAGAAGGATCTCGGTGACCTCCAGGAGTGGTCGAAGAAATGGCCACTGAGATTCAATGTCAGGAAGTGTAAGAGGATGCACCTGGGGCGTACCAACGGTAAGGAGGCATCCCAACGGGATGAAGAAACTGCACTATTCAGTCTTGAAGTGAATATGTATAGCTTACTGTGTATTGGTATTTCCGAATGATGTAAATTTATCCTTGCAAAGTTGTTCAGCTGTGAGGTGAATTTATGGCTGATTGGGCAGTTCATGGTAGTTGTATCATTAGCTTATTTGAGGTCACTGATTTTGTTTGGTATATATATTTATATATTGGTCGTTGTGGCTGTGTGAGTGCGTGATCCGTTGGTGGTGGTGCTGTGAGTGCGTGATACATCGGTGGCATTGTGTGTGAGTGCCTGATACGTTGGCACTGCCGGCGTCGTTGCGCGAGTGCTCGCAGGCAGTAAAGATCACCAGTAGAGGAGATTATGTACCTACTAACACACCACCAATCGGGTATGTCTTCTCGGCTAAGTTAACCGTCGACTCGCACATTGAAGAGGTTAACCAAGATGACGGAAATGACATCATTCGTCGCCCGAAGCACCAGAGCCTCGCACGTTGCCTTCGTATATAACTAACACGTGCACGCCCTAACTTAGTTGCCCACTAACACAGTATATCGGGCATGGACGAGCTCCTTTCACCTGCAATTAGTTGCAGTTCACTCGTATGCTTTTCCCATTTAGTTTATACCGTACTGTAATGTCCCAATGATCCAGATTTGGTTTATTACAGTATAGCCATTTAATAATCAATCTATCGTACACTGACATATTAACTTAGAGACTTATTTTGACTCATTAATTTGGGATTTTTTCTGTGGTAGAATTCATACCAGATATAAAAAATTAATAACTCGGGTTGTAAGGTAACAAACTTGTTTACGTTAAAGTCAAGGACGCGTTCTGTATAAATAAAAGTGTACGTGAAGGATGCGGTAAAATGACGATAAGTCACCGTAATAAAAACCAGCATTGGGTCTTGAGCTTCGTCTTACACGTGTCCAGCAGGAGCAAGCGACACGGAGGACAGCACCTCCCCGAGCAGCCTCAACATCGGCATCGTCTTCGGTGACTCCGTCTTCTCCCCACTGACCGGCAGTCGACAAAAGCTCGGGTGGCAACGGAGGAGCGAGGGATCCAAGCTTCACCTCGGCCGCCCTACGCCGGCTCGGCATTCGCTTGGAGGAGGGCGAAGATATAGATTTCTTCATTGCAAACCTTACCATTCCTCCACCACCTGAAGGAGGTGTGGTAAGTAGTGTAGTGATTATACATTCATTATAATGCTGCTGTTTTTATCCATTTTGATGACTATACAGTACATGAAACTCCAAGATATTTCCTTATTTACAAATAGAGAATTGTTCTGTACGTACGATGCCGTTTACAGGACCTTCAGACGTGCGCGGAGAACCGTAAGACGGGGGAACGAGTGCGACATCTCCGCGTTTGTTATCCCGCCGCCTCCTCCAACCTCGGACAAGAAGGACAACAGGTCTTCCGACGTTATACGGAGCCAAAGAAGGAATCGGCAGGGCGAGTTGTTGCGAGGTTCATCTAATTTTCTACAATTAAATGCAATACCGTATTACTGTAAGTGTACCGTGGAAGTGTTCGTCTGAACTAAATGAATTTGTTTCTGTTCATAGATGTTATTGATTCACCGTAACGTGCATCGTCGTGTAAGAAGATTACCGCACCGTGTAATAATTAGTTGTGGGTTTATAATAAATACTGTACAGTATTATACAACACAATACAGTACTTAGGAAAACAGGGAGGCCATTTAAAATCACATTTCCTGATGGTATGTATGACTCTCAGGTTGTTTATCTCTTTAAGGAGGAGTGTTTTATTATGGGTAATGTCAGACAGTGTTTTCAGGTTGGAGAAATGTGTTACTCAATGGGTTAAAATGGTTGAGTTATATTGTGATTTCTCCTGTAGTAAAAGAATATTGTTAATTTATTAATTTATCATTCCACCACTTAAAAGTTTATTAGCTGCTGGGCCAGTTGGTCTGTTCTTTTTTAATTTGTTATGAACACTGGTGTCAGGTGTTCGTACAGGAAGAAATCTGTAATATTTGGGAGTGTCACTGGATAACACCCTTCTCATGCGTGTCTCAGCCAGGACTCAAACCCACGATACACTCATTACTGCCGTACCAGCAAATGTTTGTTTTTACCTAAAGTATTTGCTGTCAGTTCTTTCTTCCTGAATGTATATCACAAACAGTGATGTAGGAGGTATTTACTTTAAGACATAATTTTTTAGTACAAAAATGAGCTAAATTGGTTTATCGTTACAGGTCGGGAAGAAGGACCACGACATCGGCGAGGTGCACGTCGGCTCGGAGACGACGGCCAAGCGCGCCAGTGTAGCAGGGAAGGTCGCATCTCTGCAGAGGCGCTTCGAAGTTCCTCCCAGGACTGCCTACGGTAGTCCGCCTACCTCAAGTGCCTCCGTAGACAATCGTCGGTTGCTACCGAAGCTTAGCAAAGAAAACTCTCATTCCCCAAGTGATTCTTCGGGTTATGACAGTCCGAGATCAAATAATTCTAATGTAGGACATGAACTGCATGCCAAATTGGCACAGGCATTAGAGGAAAATGGTAAGACGTACAAAAGTTTCGACAAATGACGAGTGCCAAAAATACCGGCGGAAGTCGGGAGAGCGGCGACTCCAAGCAGCCGTCGGTCACTGCCAGAGTACGAACCTTCAGCTCTGGGGGAAACTGGACCGCCTCTTCTCTTCAGCGCCAAATGACCGTGCCAACCGGTAAGGCAGAGGGAAATAGGAGGACTCTCCACCTCCCCCTCCTTCATGAACGTCCATCACACGAGCCGGCACTCTGACTAACCCAAAGAAATGCAAGCCTTCTCCTCCCTCGTCAAAAATCCAGAGAAGTATATCCACGAGCACAGGTAACCTCTCCAAGTCTGCCTCTCGAGACGACACGACGAGTCACGCCAGTTACGACACCATCCCGAAGTCGAGCACCAAAGCCTCGGCCTCCAGCGAAGACGTCGGCCAAGCCAAAGCCTCCCCGGGGTCCCCATCCAAACAAAGCGTAGCCTCCGGTAACGATTCTCTCGCGTTGTCCTCTACCGAAGAATTGCTCTTAGAATTTTCAATAAAGCTCTAAACATCATTAATGAACTTTAGCTCAGCCAGTCTTGAGTTCACCTGCCTTGTTTTATCATTTTTGTGATTTTTTTTTTGGTACATTACTGTCCTGCTAAATGAATTGAAGCAGATGATAACTTACAGCAATGATGGAGGTGAATATATTCTCTATTTTGGGGAATTGGAAAAGAAATTGATTTTATGTACCGACGTGTTTAATTCTTTATACGATCGGTAGCGTGGATACAATACGAAAAAAAGACGAGGGTAGAGGGAGATAAAGGTTTTATTATGAGAAGTTGGTAAATGTAACAGCTGAGAGGCAGAGTTATCCTGTTTAACACCGAGAGAAATAAAGATTCAACGTGATAAAAGAAAACTCAAAAGAGAGGAAACGGTAATCATATTGAAACTGTCTATTTACCTAGAAAAATACAGAATAGGGATGTTATAAACTTGTTTTTAATAGAATAACAAAAGTGTATTGATTATGTTTAATAAAGAATCAATAGAATGGCAGAGGGAAGATTTTGAGATATAAGGTAGGAAGAAAAGTTTGGAACCAGACTTGGAAGAGATCATGTGGGTCACTTTTTAAATTAAGGAGCATAGTACTTATGTCATGGTCACGTTGACTGCTGATCTATTTAACTGATGATTCTTATTAAACTCCACACCCGCAAAACGCGAGTGAGTTAGCGACCCCCGAGAAGATGTGTTTTTTCCCCGTACACGCTACACTGGTGTTCCCTCCCAGAGTCCCGCCTTTGTGAAGACAGTTGTCAGTGCGTTGTTATTCCACTTTCTCCTGGGAAGCTCAATCTTGAATTAGTCTGTGTAAATCAACTCAAGTAATTCGCCAGACCTTTGTCAACTGAGGGTCGTCTTTGAATGAGTAACAGTTAGTGTGTTTGTAATTATTGTCATTGCGTGAGTAGCGATCACTGGCAACTCAGGGGTATATAAACTCAAGGCGAGCCAGTGAGAGCCTTCCCTGACGCTGCTCCCATGTTTCTCCAGGTATGTTTTTGGGTAGCCATTCAGTTAATTCAGTCAATTGTAGTGAATATCAGTGTTCATGATTTAACAGTTGAATTGTCACTCACCCAGTGTAGAAGTAATATAACGTAAATACGTCTGTCGTCCAGACAAGAGAGTTTGTTCGTGTTGTCCTTCCCTGACGCTGCTCCCATGTTTCTCCAGATCCCATTGTGATTCTTGCAACCATTCAACAACGGCCCCGGATGTAGTAAATAACCAACAGGGATCACATACGAAACGATGGCACCGATGCGGCCCGATTAAGGTGCCCCACGGCTTCGTTGGGCCAGACCCCAGACCCGCCGTGTGTCTGGCTACCCCACAATAACAAAGGTCGTGAGCCCCAGTGCTCTACCCTGGGTTACTCCTTAGAAGTGTATGTCCACAGAGAGTGTTGTGACATGTATGTTAGGGATAATTAGTTGGAAATAATTATCCCATGTTGGGTAGTGGACCCCTGTATATGCTAGTTTAATTATTAACGAGTATGTTGAGTAAGTACTGAGTTTGCACTAAGCCCAGGAGTTGAGCTTGGTAGTTATATGTTTAATACAATATCTTTCCCCATTGATTGCATATTAATAAACTTGTTTTTAGAGTACTTTAGGTGTATTCCTTTCTCCCACAGTATTTTACCTTTATTTCCATCCAAGTGACTTGATACCAGAATTACCCTACCCATGTGCCTAGACCCTCGACCATGCTACCAAAAGAATAGGTGACGGAACTGAGTAAGAGAAGTAAATAAGATGAGGGTGGTGTAGAGATAGAGAGGGAACACCGCACCCTCACATTGGTGGCAGCGCTAGACCCGCGCCCTCACGTTGGTGGCAGCTTGTCAGTTGTTACCCCCGCCTCACACTTATATGTAAAATTATCTCATGAAATCTATAATGTTTTTGTGATACTTAAGGACCCGTATAGAGTCGTTAGAAGAGCAATGTAGGAACGTTAGAAAATGTATTAGATAAATACTGATTGTTGTCTATAGGCAGTGTACTGTATGTGAGGGAGAGGTGAAGTTGTTGCTGATGAAAGTAAGATTATAGTAGGATATGTAGTGTCACCATGATTGTTTGGTGTTTGCCAGGATGGGATGATAATTGAGGTTGGTGCTGTTGATTGAGTAAAGAAAATTGAATATGTTAATAAGTTTGGCTGATCGAAGAACTGGAGAAAGTTGACGGTGCGTGCGTGCGTGCAATATGCACGAAGCATTATCCGTTCATTTTAGTAAATAAAATTTCCCTTCCTCATGACATTGTGAAGGCAGGTATGCAGAACAAAGGCCTTCGTTCGCCATCACCAGGGCGTGAGGAGTCTCTCGGAGCAGCCACCCTCGGTGCCTTCCAGACTTCGCAAGCCACAGCTCGGCCCAACCACTTCTCCTACGAATAATCCGCCAGGCACCCACCGTCTGCGTCCTTCGGGCAAATTAACGGCTCCTTCCGGACCTACCGGCGGTAAGGCTCCCGCGAGCAGTCCCACTTCTCCTCGAGGCAGGGCCGGATTCAGGAGTGGACAGCTGTCCAGGGGCCTCCATATCATACAATATTTTATTTATTTGTTTATTCGTTTGGATTATTTTTATTTTCATTCTTTAAAATTCACGTTTATCTATTCCATCACGTAAAACTGTGTTCAGCAAGAAGCGTGATAGAAATTAGGCTAGCCACTCCTTGAAATTCACGAATACCCGGTTTTCCTATGAACCGACTTGAAACCACATGAATGACTCTAGTTGTATCTCACTTTTGTGTGTGTTGGGAATTTGTACACTTATCAATAAATATACAGTTAATTAAATATGTCTCAATGTCATAATTTCCTCAATATAACTGCATATGGCTTCAAAATTCTCCAAAGAAGTGTTCAAATTTCAAAATTTTCCCGGGGGGCTTACAGCGACCACCGGAACTCCCAGACGTTCGGGCTCGCATCACTCGCCGCCCCACCCTCTTGGGTAGTTATAATGAGGGGGGGGGCCCTCCACAAAGAGGCTGGCCGCCCACAGGCCTCCACAGGTCTAAATCCGGCACTGCCTCGAGGGGGTACTCGCTCCCCCCCCCCAAAGAGTCCCAGAGTCACTCGTAAAGGAGCCGGTGCGGACGAACCGAAGCCTCGGCTCCCCGCCAAGAATAGTCAGTCGCCGGCTCGGAGAGTTCCCGCATTGCCGCCAACGGCATCAAAAGTCCCGTGCAAACCGCCGACAAAAATTCCACGGCTTCGAGACTGCCCAGACTGGATAATTCCAGCGTGGCTGTTAAAAACAGCCCGAACCACGAAGTCGCTCCTCTGCAGACTTCCTCGCCAAAACAAGACCGTCAACGGCAAGACTCCAAACGGGACGGATCCGGACGATTCCCCGGACATCGGCAACTTCGATCGAGATTCGTCAGAAGAAGCAGAAGACATCGATGTGATGCCTTCCGCCGTTTTACGGGAGCGGTCGGTCAGTCCCCGAAGTCCTCGACGGAGAAGGCAGCGACCTGCACAGAAGCTCAGCGTTGCGGCGGCACCGCCACTCAAGACTAGGCAAAGTTCCAGAGAGGCTCTCGCCAGTGAATCGAGACGGTTCATAATGGCCTCGAAGTTATTCGTCGAGTCGGCCACGGAATCCGAAGACACGTCGTTGCAGTGTCTGTCGACGTGTATAAAGACGATGCAGCGCACGGTGGACGTGACCCAGCAGGTGGTGCGGCACACGACCGCGCCTCTCCAGACTCTGGAACATGGCAGTGAAGGCGAGGGACGTGGCCACCGCCTACCAGTCCACCGTCCGGGCGGCGCCGTCCGCTGGACGGACCATCCTTCCAGGAACACCCTCACGACTCGGGCCACCAACCCGGCCGGCGCACTCGCCGCTCTCACGCGCACGCTCGAGCGTTCGGCCCGCGAGATCCCCGACCGGTCGGACGTCGCAGAATCGCGTGCATCGTCGTATTATTAAGATGGCTCTCGCAGTAAAGAGTTGCAAAAATCGCCATTGACAGTGCAATGAATGGAAACTTACAAAAGAGTGCTTAATGTATTTACACGTTTGTAGATATAGAAACAAACCCGATACGCATAATGTCGATCGCCGTAGCCCGACCGGCTTCTGTAAATAACGATAGAAATCTCAGGCATTATGAACGGTCAGTCCGGAGGAGAGCGAGAGCACCGGCAGTAACGGCTCCGGAGTCGAGCGTCCGGGATGAGCGCGGACGAAGCTGGGACAGTCCAAGGGCGACGTAACGGTTAACGGAGTTGTATATTTCACTACATTGATATAACTGTGTATAACAATGCCTAACTTACCCACAGTCTCGCATTTGACTATAAATTTCCAAGGGTAGGTTTGTTTCGCAAATGTATTTAATATAGCAGTTTTTTCCAGTTACTTTTTTTTATTATTCCAAGTTTATTGGCACTACTTGTAATTGTTCTCCAGATTTTTTATTTGTTATACAGTATAATTGCAACTTATGGTTTGCTTCCACTTTCCATTAATTTGTTCTTTGTTTTGTACAGTTTGAGGCCCCCCTCCCCCTCTTGGTGTATATAACTTCTGTACAGCAACAAAACTTGTCAGCCCCCAGTTAGGAGTTGTAATTCAGTGTATATGCTGTATTTTCTGCTAAATATAGTATATCCCGTCTGTATCCCCTTGTGTATCTACCTACTAAGGGTACTGGGGTATATACTGTAGGGAGATATATCTACTGTAGCTGTGAAGGGTTAAACAATGAACGGTTTCTTGTATAGGAATGTTGTAATATAATGTGAATGACAGTACAGTAATGGAGGTTGGGAGTATGTTACTGTAGTGGTAGTATTGTAATGAGTACTAGCAGCGATGGAGGGTGTAGTAGTACAGCTATAATCAAGGTAACAAGTTACGCAAATCTACCACCCAAGACGAGCGAGCTCAGACATGGTGGCCAATGGAGATCCCAAACATCTGCAGTAGGAGTGGATTGTTCCAGAAACGCTGTTACCTAC